GCAAGAAACACTCGGGTCGTCTACTGCAACTTGTAATGGAAGCTACACACAATGTAACGCGAGCAATAGAAAATTGGGTGAATATCTCATCATCATTCAGCCAGAGTACATGAAGCATATTGGCATGGTAACAAAATACCAGCATTAGTGTTTTTTTAAGAAACATTAATGTCTGATTTTTTTGTACCAATATTTCTACAACATTAATAAGTTTTTACGCATCTGGTTTATGCAGCACTGTATTACAATGTGCATGCCAAATTTATAATAAATAAATAATATTTTTAGAAGTTTTAGAAGTGTTACTTGCAAAATATTTTTAATACCGTACTAATCAATGTTATTATAAGTTTCTTGTTTTAAAACCATGTAATCCCATTCAATAGTAATACTTTTGGAGCAAATATGTGACCCAGATTAATAAAACAACTTGTGGGGATTAATATTGAAATATATGATGCACGAAATTTATAATACAGTATGAAAATGTGGCTGAATATGCAGGAACAACTATTTTAATGTATGGCTTTCTACAGTCTGGTGTAAAGTTAGTCTATGAATTTGGTTATTTTGTAATGGCTGGATTATGCCTATGTCTGCATGCTTTTAGATGTTCGCTGATCAATTTGGTATTGTAATTTAAAATAAAACTTCGATTTTGTTGTTGTACACCATTTTTTGTTTAGTATTTTGAAATATTTATATAGTTGAACTTGCCTATGTCGTATCCAAAATGCCATTGAGAAATTGTTTGTCTTTAACAAAATTGACTTGCACTTACAGTAATGGAAAACAACAATTCGGCATGTAAAATTAGATTATGGCAAAGTCGTCTTAGGCAAGTTTAACTGATTTATTTATCATATTTGATTGCCTTGTATTATTTACCATAGCCAAGATTTCTTCTTTCATGATGATGTTCAACATCCATGATATATTTGGTGCTTTACTTGGTTATTGATTATTACTGTACATAAATTCAAAAGTACTGGTGTTACTAAATAAATATTTTTTAAACACAATTTATCATCCTTGTATATGGCAAATAATTTATTACAATTCTATTTTCTCAGTTAATATAAAATTGTTTCACTGTACACAGAACAAAACACTGCATTTAACACACACTATTTATTATCAAAATATTAAATGTATCGATTTACAGTTAGATTTACACCAATGTAAAGAATATGATAGAACAAGTTAAATTTATTTACTGTACAAAAAACTCCAAATCACAGAGCTCCAAATTTTAAAATATGAGACGCGAGTGGGAAAGACACAAGAATATTGCATTTGGAACATACTGTAGGCCTACTTAACAACAAAATGTTCATGAAATCAATTTGGCTGGCCTATTCGCATCTGGCCTATTCACATCAATAGCAACAATTTCTATTACAGACTAGGCCTGGAAGGTTACACACAATTGGCTGGTGTAGATATACAAAAACTGTAGGCCTATGCTGACAAAATTTCCTTTCTTACCGTGAGTGATGAGATATTGCAAGCATTTTTATCAATGATTCCTGTATCTGTATCATCGTGTACAAACACCAGAAGGCTGGTTGTCGCGTACGTCGGTCAGGTTGAGGTGTGTAACAATTAAATATTGTAATGAGCTTTAGTCGTTAATTTATGAATATTAATGAGTCCAAAGCAACTTTAAATTATTTTATATTAGGTGACATCCGAATATTCTCACTCAAGCAATTCCTGTATCTATAGCATCAAAATACCCAGGGTAGTCTTCACAGTCCCTAATCGACCACAGTGTGCAAGATGAGATGAACCTTCTGTCAGATTTCTTTAGCCTGTTACACCTACCAAATGAATCCATCGATATCCAACATGTCGACATTTCCTATTAGAGAAGTTCAATAAGAAAGTTAAACAGACCAGTTAAAAAATTTAGAGTGACTATTCTTACACCATTCAAAAATAATTAGAATTGATATTACAGTATCTTTATAATATAAGGAAATAGTCCTGGCACTAATCATCAATGATAATTTTTATTGAAAATTTATATTAATTAACCATCACTGTGAAAAGCCCATATTCAAATGCATTGCAAAGTGGTATAACAATAGCCGCGGCCTAAAATATTATTCTGAATAGAATTAACTAATTCATTAATATAGAACTTTTTTATAAATAATATAAAAATAAAAATTAGTTAAAAAGTTACAGATGAAGACAATTACAATTTAAACATATATAGCACATATGTATAATAGGCTATTTTCTTTCTCAATCATTTTTAATATAGAGTAATTCCCCTGTATTTTGACCATCAAAATGGCTGGACATTTGACCCTCTACTAGTTATTGATCCAGCATGGAAGAACTAGCAGGGTCACGCCTATGCCAGGTGGTTGTAACTCAGAGTGTGTGCAGGCAATTTATCCTCCTCGGAAAAAAAAGGCCGATTTCCGAGCAGCATTTGTCGAAAATTAGTTTGGAACTAATATATATAACCAATGTATCATACAGAAGTTAAGTTCTGTGCACCTTTTTCCTAGCCATTTTCTGCGGAAAATTTGAGCTAGTTTTTGAGGTATCATCATCCACATTCCACGACGAATAAACTGGCAGCCTGGCCTATTATATAATTACTAGCCAGGCCTAGGCTGCCTTCCAATAGATAGTTCCATGGATCAATCATTAACATGTAAATTACTGTACTTTATTCAAAATAGTGTTGTTCGTCTAATGTTTGAAATTATAGTTTTTATGACTAAATGAGGGGTCTAGGCCTAGGCCTACATCGCGCCAGGCAGTAGAGTAGCATTCCGTATTCTATACATGATGATACAGTACTGCATATATATGGGGTGCCATACGCAGCAAAAGTCAATGTTAAAATCAAAATGTAATTGCAAAATTCAATGTCTAATTTATTAAAACGTAGGCGTAAATTTCTCAAAATGTAGATCTAGTTTTTCAAAATGAAAAAACGTAGTTCAAATTTTTCCAAATGTAGTTCTAATTT